ACTCAGGGCCTGGACATTGTCCTCTAGCTTCAAAACTTATTGTTATTATAAAAGTGAAGTACAGAGAGGTTACAGTTACATAAATCAGGTACTGAGTATGTTTCTTTTGGAAAATGTCATTCCTACCCTTGCTCTTTCCCAGTTTTTCCCTCCCATCCCAACAACAAGTTGTGTAGTTCATTTTCTACATAGCGTCCAGTGAATACCATTGCTGCATTTGTTCACTCTTTGTCCCTCCATTTCTGTGTCTCCCCTCCCACTCACAAAGACATATAAACGGACACATAGAACAAAAAGAAAGGAAAACATACAGCAAAAAAGAAAAAAAAGGAATCTCTTGTTTTTGTTTCCTGGAGTTCATTGTGATAAATATTATTTTGTGTGATTAGATGCACATAGGCATTGTGCCTTTCTGTTCTTCCTCTAAGAAATTCCTCCTTTAGTCTCACTGTGTGTGAATGCCTAGAGACCTATGTAATTTATGCCCGTTAGCTTTTTCACTCAAGGCTAGCCCTCTACCTCGTGAACCTTCAGGTTTTTTGCTGATTAATTCGTTTTAAGAATCTTGTCAGATTTTTCTGCTCAGACTGGCTTCAAAGCATGATCCTCATATCTCAGCCTCCTGAGTAGCTAGGATTACAGGTGTGAGCCACCAGCACCCGGCTCTATCAATTACATTTGAAACTCCATTGAATTACATTTGGTCTCCACCACTTCCTATATTTGTAGACTTTCACCTTTAGTTTCCTTCCTTCCTCCTTTCTTTTCTTCCTCCCTCCCTTCCTTTTTTCCTTCCTTCCTTCCTTCCTTCTCTCTGTTGCTTGCTTGTTTTCTTTCTTTCTTTCTTATCTTTTCTTCCTTTCTTTCTTCTCTCTTTTTGTGCTGGTCCTAGGGCTTGAACTCAGGACCTGGGCCTGAGCTTTTTCATCCAAGGCTATCACTCTACCACTTGAGCCGCAGCTCCACTTCTGGCTTTTTGGTGTTTAATCGAAGATACTAGTCTCACAGATTTTCCTGTCCTGGCTGGCTTTGAACAGTGATCATCAGATCTCAGCCTCCTGAGTAACTAGGATTACAGAAATGAGCCACCAGCACCCGATGAAAGTGTTTGATAAAGGCATGGACACAATTCAGCTTTGGAAGTACTTAGTTCAAACTTTGGACCAAGTTTTAGTCTTCTAGCACTGGCCATAGGCTTCATTGTTCTGAAGGTCTTTCAAGCACAGCCATATATACATTGGATCTCTGGATTCTCAGTCATAGAATTACATGGTCAATAGTTGCTCATATTCTCAGTAGTTGTCAGAAATAGTTTCTATCAGCGGCCCTCCATGACGCTTTATACCTGCTCAGCTCCTCCCTCCTCACTGCGGTGTTGAGAGCTGGTATAGGCTCTCTGCCCCTGTAGAAGTGAAATTCTCAGTGGTGCCATGGTTAAGTGGTGTTCTCAGCAAATGGCAACACCAATAGCAGCAACTGTCACCATTAAGATTTGTTCTGTCCTTGGGCCGGGGTGGCCCAGAGGTAGAGTGCTTGTCTAAGTTATGTGGGGTTCTGGGTTCCATCCCCAGAATCCCACCCCCACATCCAAAAAAATTATTTTGTTCTAGTCACGGTGCTTTCCTAATTAATCCTAACTACATAATATTCATTTTTGTTGTTCTTGTTTTATTTTTGTTTTTGTGCCCGTCTTAGGGCTTGAACTCAGGGTCTGGGCACTGTCTTTAAAGGCTTTTTTAATCAAGGCTGACATTCTGCCACTTGAATTCTGGCTGTTCGGTAGTTAATTAAAGTTAAGAATCTCTTGGATTTATCTGCTCAGGCTGGCTTTGAATCATGATCCTCAGATTTCAGCCTTCTGAGGAGCTAGGATTACAATTATGAGCCACTTGTACCAGTTCAATTTTTATCTCTATTTATTTTATACCAATGCATGAAAACCATGCATCATGGGACATGCTAAGAAATGTCTCCTTTTTTTGGTCATTTTTTCCCCTAGTAATTAGGTAGTGTTCAAATTTATTTTTCACATTTATTGTTTGATTGTGATATGTATTAACTTAAGTTACTAAGCTCTTTTTTTTTCCACTTATGGGGTTAAATGCTTTGGCATTACAGGTTGATAAATCTAAATCCAAAATCTGGAATGCTTCAAAATTCTGAACCTCTCTGAGCTCCCAGATTATATCAGACATGGAAAATCCCACACCGTGAAACTTTCTTTCATGCACAAAATTAGTAAAAACACAGTATAAAATTACCTTCAGGCTATGCATAAAAGTAATATACACAAAACATCAAATGGATTTCATACTGAGGTTTGGGGTTCATGCCCAAGATACCTTATTAGGTCTATGCAAATATTTTGAACTGCAAAACCAAATCTGAAGTGCTTCTTGTACCAAGCATTTGAGATAAGGGAGTCTCAGCTTGTAAGGATTTTTTCCATGTGAATTCTATACAAATCATATGTTTCTAACTTACAGACATTCACACCTTCTTTATATTTTTTTCAAAATTTAAGACCATGTCAAGAAGGAGGGATGGAGGCATACATACTAGGGGATAGAATTTTCTCCTGGGCTTCATTCTGTTGTCTATGGGAGGAATAGATGGATGGTTAAATAGTTACTGGCTGATTTGTTTGAGAGTTACCAGGTGAGAAAGAGCAAAGAAAGCTTGAACTCACTCAAAATGAGCCAGTTTTTCAACATTCATGGTATGATAAATGTCAACGTTGTCTTTTGACCCTCCAGGCGGCTGAAGTGGCCACTTTTGCTTCTCTGGCCTGTCTGAGGCTCGGCCCTATGAAGCCCCAGATTCAACAATAATTGTTGTCTTCCAGAATAATCTTTGGAAGATTTCACTTTAAAAGTAACCATGCCACTAGGTGCAGTGGCTCATGCTTATAATCCTAGCTACTCAGGCAGCTGAGATTTGAGGATCAAGGTTTGAAGTCAGCCCAGGGCAGACAGATCTATGATTTTTTATCTCCAAGTAACCAGCAAAAAGCTGGAAGTGGAAGTGTAGCTCCCGTGGTTGAATGCCAGCCTTGAGCAGAAATACTAAGGGACAGTGCTCAGGCCCTGAGTTCAAGCCACAGGACTGACACATAAACCAAGTACCAAGCATTTTTCTCTCTATTTCTCTACATGTTAGACAGGTCCACCAGATAAAGCCTCATTAAAAAAAAACAATAAAAACCTCTTCTCTTGGTCATATGTGTACTTGTAAAAATAAACAAGAGATCAGTGATCTGCATTCCTCTATCATTCTTGATGACAAGTGAAAGACTACGTTTATATTTTGCTGAAATGTTGAAGCAGGACCCTCCACTGCTCACTTGTTAGTGACTTTTTGGTGTTTTCAAACAAATGCTTAGCCAAGCACCTGGTGGCTCATGCTTATAATCCTAGGTGCTCAGAAGGCTAAGATCTGAGGATTGTGGTTTGAAACTAGCCTAGGCAGGAATGTCTGTGAGACTCTAATCTCCAATTGACCACCAAAAAACCCCCCAAAACAGCCAGAAGCGGAGTTGTGGTTCAAGTGGAAGAGCTCTAGCCTTGAGCAAAAAAACCAGGCCCTAGGACCTGCACCAATCCCCCCCCCCCCACCACATACACACACACAAGTATGCTTATTTTTCTGCTAATGAATAATTGACCCTATGTTACTTTGAGGCCAAGTTCACAAATGCCAAACCTTAGCTGTCTACTTCTGAATGAAGAGGAAGCTCTAGTCTCCAAGCATAGATTTGTTTACTTTTGGGGGGCAATTTCTGGGACTTGACCTCAAGGCTATGAGCTCTCACTTGGCTTTTTCACTAAAGCCTGGGGCTCTACCACCTTTGGCAAGCCTAATTTGTTTTCTTTTTGTGCCAGTTCTGGGACTTGAACTCAGGGTCTAGGTGCCGCCTCTGTGTGAGGTTTTGTTTTGTTTTACAAGACTAGTACCATACCGCTTGAGTCACAGCTCCACTTCTGGCTTTTTGATGGTTATATGGAGAGAGTCTCATAGACTTTGCTGCCTGGGCTGACTGAATTGTGATCCTCAGATCTCAGCTTCCTGAGGAGCTAGGATTACAGGCACGAGCCACCATCACCTGCCTGGTAAGCCTAATATTTTGACTGAACATCTCACAGAGTGCTTCAGGGTAAATATGACATAGTAGACCTAACACAGGAATCCGAAAGCGGGCTGACTGTGTGCATCCAGCTCTGCCTCTTATGAGCTGGGTAATCTGGGCATGTTTCTTGGCCCTCTTGGATTTCTTGGCGTCACTTTACCCATCTCTAAAATGGAGACAGTGGTATATTATATTGACCTAAATGAGTGGCAAGGATTTAGCGAATCAGCATGCTACAAACAGTACATAGCTCAGAGTGGTTTTCGGTTGATTTAGTACTTTTCAAATTGCTATTTCTTGATTATCTTGCCTGATCCTATAAATGGGAAATTTCTAGGTCATTGTTAGGTGGGAGTCTTTTCTGGCTGAAGACCAGACACTGTAAAGACTGGGGTAGAAAATCAAGGCTGGCATTCCCTGGGAATTCAGAGACAGCAGAAGATATAAGGTATACTTGAGCAGAATATCAGTTCTCACTTGAAATTTTTAAGATTACATATTGTCTATGGTAGCTTCTTAAAAAAGGCCCCCTTTCCAACATAAATAATATTTAATATCTTGTGTATATATAGAAAATTGTAAACAGAACTGATCAGCAAGTGGTTCATGCCTAACTCTTAACTCCAATTAATCATTCAAAATCTGGAAATGGTGCTCTGGCTCAAAGTGTAGAGTGCCAGCCTTGAACAAGAAAGCTAAGGGACAAAATTCAGGACCTGAATTCAAGTTCCAGTACTGGCACACACATACACAGACAATGATAGACATTCTATAGTAAATTCATTTCATGGTCATTGAAGTTTTGAAATGAACCATCTCTTCCTTCTTACTTTGATTTAGAACTCCTCAGGGACAAACATACCTGACAAGCACCATGGCTATCCAAGTATTCCAAGGATATCAGAAAGCATTCTTCTCCATTGTGCTTTTGCTAGATTGTCTGGTAAGTAAATGTGTCTTTTCTTTCATAAGGGGATGGTGAAAGAATTCATGTAAATATATCTAGACTTTTTTCTCTTAATGAATTTTTTAATGTTCTCATTTTTTCCCCTACCATGGCTCTGAACTGCAATCCTCAGATCTCAGCCTCCTGAGTAGCTAGGATTACAGGCGTGAGCCACCAGCGCCTGGCTTACGACTCTTTTCTTTTGATGATCCTACATTATGTTTTATTTCTTTCAAATTGCACTCGATCAACTATGCATTTAATTAATAAGTAAGAGAGTTCTGCTGAGCCATAGGGTGGGTACCAAGGGTTGCCACTTATTTTATTTAAGCTGAAGTGATGTCATATTACTTATAATGTTAAGATAATAACACTATCTTAAGTTCTTAAGGCATACATCTTATCACAACACATACTAGGTGCTAAGTTCTAGCTCATGAATTCTAATTCATATCTGAATTCCCAGCTTATCGGAGGCTGAGATTTAAGGATTATGGTTCCAAATCAGCCCAGGCAGAAAAGTCTGTGAGACTTTTATCTCCAATTAACCAGCAAAAAGCTAGAAGTAGATTTCTGTGGCCCAAGTGGTAGAGCATTAGCCTTGAGCAAAAACCTTAAAAAAAAAAAGAATACTAGGTTCTAACTTCAAGCCCCACTACTGTAAAGAAAAGAGAGAGGAAAAGGGGGTGGAGGGAGGGAGGAGGAAAAGGGAGAAGGAAGGCTGAGGGGAGAGAGAGCAAGAGAGAGAGAGAGAGATTATTGGAATTTTTGCCCCAAAGAATTTTTTTAGCCTTAAACCCACCTTGAATTCTTCCTCTCAGCTGCCCAATAGATTCTAAAACTCTTTGAAGAAAAGGTAATATCCTCACAAATCTTCCTATTGAACGTGAAAATGGTTTGTAGGGAATGACTTCTCATTATTATAAGCATGACGCAGAATTTCTGAGGATTTTGAGCTTTCATTTGGGAAAACAAAATTATCCTCAGCAGCGCTGCTCAGGCATTCCTGGTTCTACTGGCACCAGCTTGAAGATAACATTTTTGTTCAACCATTTTTTTTTCTAGTCCTGCAAAGTGCTCGGTGAAACCGGAGACTGTAGACAGCAGGAATTCAAGGACCGGTCTGGAAACTGTGTCCTCTGCAGACAGTGTGGGCCAGGCATGGAGCTGTCTAAGGTACACATTGATTTCATGGGAAAGCTGCAGAGCGGTGTCAGTAAAAATGTGTTCTTTTTTTTTAAACTAAAATTCTTTTAGTTAATTATTACTAAAGTTTTGGATACGACAATGGAATTCCTGATTCATGATGTCACTCTGGCCAAATATTTGTATAATTCCCTTTTCAAAACTTCTGATTCATATACCTTCTTGAAATCAATAGGTTCTATCAGCCAAAAATTCAACAAGATAGTCTTGGTGGCATATTTCAATGTTTATTAGAGTGTATTTGGGCTAATTTAAAAGAATCAATGCTATTGAAAGTTTAACATAAAACATTGATCACAGAATATGCTTATGTTACCTTTTTATTAAAATTAAGCCAAGAACTGAGCACTAGTGGCGTATGCCTATGACCCTAGTTACTCAAGATACTGAGATCTGAGGATTTTGGTTCAAAGCCAGCCAGGCAGGAAGGAAAGTCTGTGAGACTCTTATCTTCACTTAATTGCTAAAAAGCCAGAAGCAGAGATGTGGCTCAAGTGGTAGAGTGCCAGCTGTTAGCAGAAAAAGCTAAGGGACAGTGCCAAGTCCTGAGCTCAAGCCTCAGTACCAGTACACAAAAAAAAAGAAAAATTAAAAAAATCTTAAAGGAGCAGAAAAATTTGATTGATTGATAGACACTCTCTAATGTCAAGTCCTATTAAAAAAAAACCCTACAGTAATCAAGACAGTATATAGCAAAACAATAGACAACTAGTTGCTGGCAGAGAACAGACAAGTAGGCCCACATAAATAAAGCTAATGGATCTTTGATAAAGGAGCAAACATAATATAATGAGGGAAAGGATGGTATTTCCAACAAATAGTACTGAATGACCTAGATACCCACATTCCAATAACTGAATCTAGACAAAAGCACTTTATACCAAGCCAAGTGCCGGTGGCTCCTAGCTACTCAGGAGACTGAGATCTGATGATTGAAGTTTGAAGCCAACCTAGGTAGGAAAGTCCTAAGACTTATCTGCAATGAACCACCAAAACCTGGAAGTGGAGCTGTGGTTCAAGAGGTAGAGCACTAGCCTTGACCAAAAGAAGTTCAGGGACAGCTTCCAGGCCCTGAGTTCAAGTTCCAGGACTAACATATACACCCTCACCCACACACTCACACACACACACACAACAACAACAACAACAAAACCTAAAGCTTGGAAGCACTTTGGGCACTCAGGCTTCCTTACACTTCCATCTGTGGATTTGTTACTCTTAATTGTTATTTTTCCTTAGAAGGCATTCAATTCTGTTTCTCTCCAGGTGTCTAAGCATAGTTGGGAGGCAGGAAGGTCCATTCACTGGAAGGCGCTATGACAGTAATCTGGAGGTGCCCCTGACTTACAGCTAGTTTCTAGATAGTCCGAAATGAACCGAGTCCTGTTCCTCCAATAAATACTGTTCCTCCAGTAAATACAGCTGCTCCTTTACATTGATGCCTCACCCTTCCTTTGCCACTTTATCTAAAGATCACTTACTCGAATCTTTCATGAAATGTAAATACTATGGATTTATGACTGCTATGGGTTTATGTTTCTTTCCTTCCTTCCTCTTTCCCTCCTTCCTTCCCTCCCTCCTTCCCTCTCTCCCTTCCCCTTCTTCCTCTCTTTCTTCCTTCTTTCTTCCTTCCTTCTTTCCCTCCTTCCTTCCTCTCTCTGTCTCTGTTTCTCTCTCTGTCTTTCTCTCTCATTCTGTTTGATAGTTGAGTGCTCTACCACTTGGCAATACCCCCAGCCCTTTTGCTTATTACTGTGTTCAGAGAAAGTCTCCTATTTTAGTCTCACCAAGGGCATCCTCCTCCCTCTACCTCCCAAATGTAGCTGGGATTTACAGGCATGCGGTGCATAGCCAGCCCCTCCTATTTTTTTCTCTTTTTTGAGATGAGGGTCTCACTATGAAAGGCTGACTGGCTTGAAACTGGCTATATGTGGCTCAGATTGGCCTCCAACTTTCATTTCTCCTGCCTCAGCCCCCCAAGTGCTGGGATTATAGTTGTATGTCACTATGCCTAGCTAAATGAAAGTGATCTCTCCATATAACAAAAATGAGTTGCCTCTTACATTGCGTTTTGTTATTCCATACTCTAATATAACTATGTATTATATGTATAATGAGACCAAGATAGGTGGCAATGATTAATTCTGTTGTGATGAGCCAAGTATTACCTCTGTGCCATTGATATATTATGTAATAGGATTCTCTCACCTCACCTCTTAAAGAAAGGTAATTACTTGCATTTTTTAAAATTTATTTTTGTCCAGTACTAGGACTTGAACTCAGGGCCTCATACTCTCTCCTTTTCCACACACAGCTGTCATTCTACCACTTGAGCCACAGCTCCACTTCTGCCTTTTTTGGTGGTTAATTGGAGAGTCTCATATATTTTCCTACCTAGGTTGCCTTTAAATTGTGATCTTCAGCTCTCAGCTTCCTGAACAGCTAGGATTACAGGCGTGAGCATCAGTGCCCAGCTGATTACGCCTAACTTTTCGACGGGGGGCATAGTTAGCTAATTTGTCATTTGTCCTTTGTAAGTAGCTGTGCTGGGGATCGTGGGTAATGATCCTTCTTAGGTTTTGTTTCAGTTTGGGTTTAGGTTTAGGTGCTGGGGATGGGACACAGGCCCTGGCATAAGTGAGGCAAGTGGTCTGCCACAGAGCCTCACCTACCCTTTGTCTCATTCGAATACTGCTCTAGTGTCTTGCTACGCAGGAGCTCTGTCTGTGATGATGATATATCATTTCTGCAACCCAATATGGGAGCCTCTGGCCACTGCAGTTACTGAATGCTTGAAATGTCTTTAGCCACTGGCAATGAGAAACTGGGTATTTCATATCATTTCAGTCAATTACACTTAAATGTAATGAGGTCCTGGCTGTTGAGCTCCACAGTTCCAGAATGACAAACTTCTTCTAGAAATCTTGGCATAGGCTGAGTGCTGGTGGCTCACACCTGTAATCATAGCAATTCAGCAGGCTAAGATCTGAGGATCGTGGTTCCAAGTCAGTTAGGGAAAACAAATCAGAGAGAGTCGTATCTCCAATGAGCCAGAAGTCAGAAGTGGAGGTGAGGCCCAAGTGGTAGAGGTACAGCTTTGAGGAAAAGACGAAACAAGAGCCTGAGATCCTGAGTCCAAGTCCATGAAAGAGAGACTAGAGACAGAGACACAGAGAAGCAGAGAGCTAGATACAGAGAAAAGAGAAAGAGAGAAGAGAGAAATAAAAAAGAAAGAGGGAGCTGGGAAGGTGGCTCAGTGGTAGAGCGCTTGCCTTGCATGCCTGAGGCCCTGGGTTCGATTCCTCAGCACCATATAAGCAAAAAGAAAAAAGCCGGAAGTGGCGCTGTGGCTCAAGTGGGAGAGTGCTAGCCTTGAGCTGAA